AAAAATGTGAAAAATAGTAAGAATATTTTATAAATTCTTTAATTAAACGTATGTACCAAAATAAAACTAGTTAAAGACTTTAAACAAAATAGTTTTTTAACTTTTTTTTTTTTGTACATTTAGTCCTTTTCTTATGAAAGAAAGTGCTATGAAAGTTCTTTGACTGAAATAAATAAATCAGAGTCTTAATAATTTGTTTCAGTGACTGCAGTACAAAGTCCTACAATGTTTTCATCTTGTTGTACTCTACCTTTAACCTATAAAATGGTACTACTAAAAACGAAAGTACAAGACTTATTTCTTTGCTAGTGTACTTTACATTGTTCCTTTGGCAAAAGGACATTTGTAACAATTTACCATAAAAAACAATTCATATAAAAAACATGGCATAACCCAACAAACGAAATAGTGCCATCATTAGCTCGGTCAACGGAAGTTAGCAAGCAGACAACAGGGTGCTTAACAACAAGGAAATGCAAATAAAAGCATTTTTAAGTGTATAAAAGTGTACAATACACAGTACACAACACAACACAACACAACGCAACACAACACAACACACAAATATACACAAATTACAAAGTACACAGCACAATGTTTTATATGTAAAAATACAAAATATTGCTGAGTTGACTGATGTCATTGTTAGTGTTGTTGGTGTTGTTGGTGTTGTTGGTGTTGTTGGTGTTGTTCGTACTATTGTTGTTGTTTGTCATTGCTGTTGGCTGCAGTATTAGTAGAACAACAGTAGAGCTTACAATATGTTATTGTGGTCTATTACTTGTGCTGATGGCACTAAATTATTGTAGTTTATGGAGCGTTTGATGTCAAATAAAATACTTACATTATGGTAAATTGCGAAAGCAAGTTATGACTTCGTCTCTAATGTCATTTATGCAAATCCAACTTTATTTCCATTTTTAGTAATTGCACTCACATTCCTGTCAAGCAAACATCAAAAGGTGTTATCTGTATACAAATGTTTCTAGAAGTTCATACAGAGATACCACCAATTACTAGAGAATATTATGAAAAATTCATTGGAAGTATTGATGTTTTAAGAAAAATTTTTATGGCAAACAAACAATGCGGATATATGAAATGATTATCAGTTGCCAATATGTTACTTTAATGATGATGACATACTGAAGATATAGGTAAAAAAGATATGATAATATAACTTCTGTAGAGTGCCATGGTAAATAATTCTTTTAATATAAAAGAAAAAATGGTGAAATGTTATCATAAAGCAAATCAGGTCAGTGTGATATCAAACTTGAAAATTGAACTTTAGTCGGTTCAAAAATATTTCTTGGAAGAATTTTTGGTAGACAATGAGTGCTGAAGTTAGTATTATTTTTATTTTTATTGAGTAAGGGATCGTGCACTGCGACCTAAAAGATCTATTCTGCCCCTTTGTCGGGTTAGATTATTTTTCCAAGTCCGATCTCTTTAATGAAAGACAGTATGGATCCTATCTTCCGCAGTCTTGAATCCTTATGATCCACGAAATACCCTCCTAGGTGTTTCTTCCGCTTATGCATCAGTGCAGGGCACTCCCCAAGCACATAGTATGCCGTTTCACTCTCTTCCCTGCAGTATCTGCAGTCTGAGTTGGATTGAATTCCTAACTTCGATAGGTGATTATTCAATCTGCAGTGACCGGTCAGTAATCCCGTAATAATTCTTATGTTAGTTTATGATTGTACTATACAATCTTTAAAGCGTTTTAGGTTGTAAGTCCCTAAAAGCATTTTAGATTGCGAGAGTCTTGGTAGCATTACCCAATAGAGTTCTCTTTCTTTTTTCTCTGCGTCATTCATAATAATGGATAGAGCTCCTTTGCCTAGACCACAGAATGGTTCTGGGCCTATCATTCTTGATGCCATTTCATTACCTTGGATATCAGTATGTCCCGGAATCCATAAAAGGTGTACCTGATTGATCCCACTAAGTGTGTTCAGCTTGTCAATGCATTCCCATACCAGTTTGGATGTTACCTGGTAAGATATGAGTGCCATTATAGCTGCCTGGCTGTCAGTCAGTATTGCAATTTTACGGTTCCGGTAGTTACGTTCAAGATTGAAACTTGCGCATCTATCTATCGCGTATATTTCCGCTTGAAAGATGGTTGTATTGTTTCCTAATGCATCCCAGTATTTTTTGTCTGGTCCATAAACACCAGCTCCAGCTCCCTCATTGGTGAGAGAGCCGTCTGTGTACCATGGAAGTTAGTATAGTCTTATATATTATTTTTGATATAATATAATACCTTACCTTGCAAGACTAGCTGCCACGCAATTACCTTGAATACCATCACCCATGCAAGGTATTATATGTGACCTATAGCTTAGAAAGCTCGTTAAGAGTTTTTAACTATTTATATCGGTTATTGGAGTATACTATAATAAGTTCACACTGTGGCTTTTGATGCTTTCCGTCTAAATATTGTAATATGTAATAGCTATATAAGACCTGAACTTTTTGAATGTTAATCACTATATACTATACTTTTAAAACACTTTATTCTCAATAAACTTTTCCAATCTGAATTAACTAATAGTTGTATTGACATTTTCATTACAAATACAATTCCACATGTTCTCCTATGCTCCAGTAGGAATTACATTTTCTGCATTAAATTTATTTCTGAAATATGCCACCAAAGCAACTCTGTTATATTTAAGGCATTTATTATAAAATATTTGTTTAAATTAACTAACTCAGTTTTTAATTAAGAAATTAAAATGAATTAATATAATTTTTAACGAACTTTTAAAGAAATAGAAATATTCCTTTCATATGCACATGTTAATGCATACTTTTTCTACTTAATTGCACATGTCGTATGAGCAACATTTTGCCACTTAAGTATTCCTGAAGCCATGCATCGAGATATTGAAAATATTAAAAAATAATATTATTTTTTGCCTTAGGCTAATACAAAATCTGTTATAATAATCAAGCATAAATATTTTATTAGCCCTGCAGCCCTGTGTGACATGTGTAAGCCGATGTTGCATGCAGACTCAAACTGAACTGAAGGATGAAGGCATAAAGGCATAAAGGAGCAAGCCTGCCACTATTCATTATAACTGACAAGCTGTCTGCGCTCTGTTTGCGTCCTGCCTGCGCACTTTGTTCAAATATTTTGCTGTGGACTGCATAAAATATTAAATTGTTCATGTCATTTCACTATTACATTGCATGTGCATTTGTCTGCTTACACAAGCAATGTCAGCGCTGCCTGCGCCACCATGAAGCCAATGAAGCGCTCCGAGACGTTCATGACAAGTCTTTTTTATGTAGTACATATCTCAACTACTCATACTGCTGCGCCTCAGTCTTCTGCTAAGAAAGTGTTTCGACGATTTCGTTTTATGAGTGTTTTTGTTGTCAGATGTTTTTTGTACTTTTAAATGCTCTGTGCACTTTCAATGTTCGTGATTTTAGTGACATTATTCGTGCCAGAAGGTGTCCCATGCCTTATGCCTTATGCCCCATGCCCCATGCCTCATGCCTTATAGTCCTTGTGGCAGTAATAGCAGCAGTAATGGCAGTAGCAGTAGTGGCAGTCATTATATTTGTGCCGATTACAGTGACTTACTGACACACGACACAGTTGCGTGTTCAGTGCAGATTTTATACTTACTTATGCCTCACACTGCATTTAACTTTTCCTCTGACCAGTATCCTTGCGGTATTTACTTAACACCGCCACATGCCGTTGATTTCTTATAAGATTTCCTACCATTTGTTGAATTTTCCGAACTCCTATTAAAGTCAACTTGATGTTGCCTTTCTTAAGTGCCTGTAATTTTCCGCTTTCCCATACTTTTCCTACATTTCATTTTCCATTCTCCATTTTCCCATTTCCATTTTTCTTTCATTTGAAAGTTTTTATTGTTACGAATATACATTTGTGTTTTTTGTGTTTTTAAGTTTTTTTCCGCCATTTTCATTTTTGCGTTATTATGTGCACAGTTTTGCAAATGGCGGCATTTTAATAACATTTAGATTTGTGCTGTAATAACAATGGCGGATACAAAAAGTGAAATGATAATGACAGTTGCAAGTGAGCGTGAATCCAGATCCAGGCTTGCCTTAAACTATCGCAAACTGCCAAGTGTAGCCACAATTGTGCGCTTAGCAAACAAAATTAAATTACATTTTAAATAATCAGAGAAATAATGTCATCCTTGTTGAATCTGCAAATAGAGTTAATTTCACTGCTGTTTTCATTTAAATTTCATTTACATTAAATTCTTTTGTCAGGCATATTGACAAGGACACAGTCAAGCTACACAAAGCATTTTCATTTTCAAATAAAATTTATTTTTAGCGAAAGTTTAAAAGGATTTTTTGTTCTTCTTCTTCTTGTTGCTGTTGTTGTTGTGTTCATTTAGTCGGTAGATTTTAGCATCGTTGCTTGATATATAAAATTTTACAGAGAATAATATACTATATTGGGTCACATTATTTTTATACCAAAAAAAATCTAATTACAAAGCAGTGTAATTTATTTTTATGCTCAATGGATGCTGTGGTTAATTTTGTATAAGGAATTAAAAATAAATACTAAAGTAATAATTAAAGTTAAACCGCAGATATAATATAAGATTTTTGCTGTCAAGAAAATTTCAAAAAATATCTACTATTAAAATTATTTTTATATTTATTATTATTTTTATTTCTATTAAAACTTATAATTGTGTGTAGTAAAGCAATTAAATATAAGCAATTAAATATTTAAAGTTTGTTAGTTGCTATATGAATTTATACAAGCTAGCCGAAACAGGAGAGTTATGTGAAATTAAGTGCATGGAACGCAATCCTTTGGACCAATTGCATGCTTGGTGCTGACGAAGTCTTCCTTTCACTCTGCAATTAAAATTACGAAAACAATATTTTATGTTTTCAACGAATTATAATTTAAATTAAAATATTTATAATATTTTTAATAAAAGTAATTTAAATATTTTATTTCAGTTTGCAAATTTTCTTATTTTCATACCATACATATATTTCAAAATATTATTAAAATATAAAAAAATATAACAGGGATAAGATAGGGATTATTAAACAGAATGTTGTTTTATTTATTTATTTATTTATTTTAATTTAATACTATATGTCAATGTGTAATAATTTTAAAATAAAGAAAAACATAATTGCGATAATGTGGGAATTATAATATACGATGTTTTCGACTTAAATTGCAGAAATGTGGAAGATGATTTCTTTATTCCTAAAACTAAAAAAATCAAATGGAAAAAGGTTGCATTTTCAGTATTAAAGAGGTACAGTGCCATTTTTATTCCTACTCTTATAAAAATAGACTTTTCTCAATATTTTTGTCCCTACTAACTTAGGAGTTTTTTTCCAAGAATAGTACCAGAGATTTCATAGATCATTATATTCGACTGTCCCCTTTAATACTACTAATAATAAACATAAATAACGTTTTTTATTCTTAAGTATTTGTCTTGGTCAGCAGTATATATTTTAAGTTGCGATTTATTAAGCAACTTCTTTTCATTTTATTTTAACTCTTTTTTGTCTTTAAGATCCGAGCATTGCATTACTGTATTTTCATTAATCTTGGTTACCAGCGGGGTTTTTTTATAATAATTTATTAAGCAACTTTTATCTTATTTTTTTTTAATCCTTATGTCTTTAATCTTAGTGTTTTTCGTCTTTGGATCCTTGGATCGTTGCACTACCATCTTTCCATTTGTCTCGGCCATAAGTGTGTATTCTAAGTTGTGAATCATTCAAAAATTTTCTTTACTCACTAATTTGATTTTTTTCTATTAGATCCCTGCATTGTACTACTATCTTTTCATCTGTCTCGGTCATCAGTCGGTGTTCAAAGTTGCGACTCATTCAAAAACCTTCTTCACTGTTAGTTTAGATCTTAACGTCTTTTAGATCTCTGCGTTGCACTATCATTTTTACTTTATTAATGTTTTCTTTCTGGAGCTATTACTTCAAAAGCAATTGAAGTTTTTTGTTCATCAAGTTGTAAAATTGAGCAGCTCATAACCAAGAATACGATAACAAAATTATTTCAATCCACTACTGGAATATAGAGAAAGCATTGTCGTCACAAAAACCAACGACCCATAACCATTCTTCTTTCTATTTTTACATACATTCATGTTTATATTAACTTACTCAAATAACGTTATATATAGACTCCTGCAGCAGAAACTAACGTGGAGTGACAATGGTGCCTCCAAAGATTTCGACCGGTCGACCTAAGTGAATGCGAACAAGACCCTTAAATAGTAAAGCGCAGCACTGAAATAATAAGGTTTTGATTCTAATTATTTTACGCATTCCAATAATTAAATGTAGAAAGATGATAAGTCTCTAAAGGCAGTATGCGGTATATAAGGCAGTATATAACTTTGGGAGAAAAAAAATGTTAGTATTTGAAAGCATTAGATGTTTGCCGTTGTTTAAGGGTCAACATTGCTTTAAATATTTGGCCAAAATATACTGACTGTTCTTTCAAGCCTATGGTTGGTAGGGAGGGGTGGTTTTAAGCTAATATTTTAGGTTGCTATTAATATCTCGCATTCTATATTTGACAAAATAATGCAATGAAGTTATACCATTTTGATAAGTAATTCTTCTGGAATAATTTGGTATCATAAGGACCAATTTAACATAAGTGGGTACCGTTAAAAGGAAGACTATACGTATTCTTATTATCTACCAAATATCAGACTAGTAAGTAACCACTGATTAGTAAGTAATTGATTTGTAAAAAAATTATCTCTATGAACTGTTTTACAATTTTGTGAAACTAAAGCAAACTTTTCTTATTATTTTTCCTCAATGTTGTACGGCAAGCAATTATTATTGCCGCTCCTGCTATATTGGTATCCATAAAGTAGGTTAAAAACTTATGTAGTAAATTGCAACGTGTAGTTGGAACTTTTCAAAAACTTACTCATAGTTGTGCAATACAACAAAATATGTTTTAATTTAGTAGAATTTTATATGAAAATATGCCATGAAATGTTGTGCACTTCTCGACCAAAAAAGAAGGAAAGGATTTCTTTAAAATTTGCATGAATCGCGAGTTCTCAGGAAATTTTATTAGCGCACATAATTTGCTCAAACTTTATGTTAATTATTTTATTTCGTATTTTTTTGTTTTTGTTTTATATGAATAATTACATTTTTCTTCGCTGCATAATACAATATGATTTAATACAAGTTTCACAGAATAAATAAATATGTTTAATTTGTGGGTTTTAAAGCAAAATGCACAGCACTCTGGCACATTAAACACATTTTACGTTTCACATACTCGCACGGATAAAATGCAAATATTATAAAAATATTTAAAAATTGGGTCACACGTTGTCTTCCGTTCCATTGCGGTGAACAACGCATTTAAAATTGTGCATTTAAAAAACTTTCCATGTGTCTGTGTGTGCGTGTGTATCTGTGTGTATGGTGTGCATTTTGGTGCATCCTTGCTGAATAGTTTCGTTTGAGTATTCATGTGGGGTTCCTTCTTCTCGCATGTGGAACGCCTTGATATTTATCACGTTGCCGTTTACAATACAAATTCACTTTTGTTCTATTCTAGGTATGGTGGGTCTTCCTTTAATGCTGCTGAGTTATCCTTTATTTTTAGATATATTCACATTTCTATAAACTTTGTTCGACTTGGTAGAAGTTATTCCGTTTCGGTTGAGGTTATCTTCAATGCGTTATTAATAAATGGCATGCAAATGAAAAATGGCGAAAGTGATTATTGTAAATTGCACTTCAGCATACACTAAGTGGTTGAGTGTGCTCCTGTGATTACTTGATCTGCTCCAGTTGAGAGAAATCTACGAAGAATATGGGTTAATGGTTTATGTTATTGATTTCATGTTAAACCAATAAATATTAGAAAAACATTTAATTAATTTCAAAATAAATTATCCGCTTTAATGTTATTAATATGATTAGGAGGTACCACTCGTCGAGTTCTGCGCTTGAGTCAATTTTGTCAGGATAAAACTTTTAGAACTTCTTATTAAAAATTTTAGTAGACTGCTTTTATAATGCAAAAACACAGCAATTATTTGTTGCGTGCCTGGTTATACAGGAATCAATCTGTAATAAATCTGAAGACAATTTCATAGACTAGATCAACTACACAATTCTGTGAATCGACGCCTTATTGTAGTATAAGTCAGTTCACACTAATGTCTCTGATTTAAAGTTGATTTGTAAGTAGCTACTAGCTGGCAATTTCATAAGGACTAGAAGAATAAGCTGGTTCACAGTAAGGTCTTTGATTGAAAGTGGGTTTGTAACTAAAAGAAGTTGCTACTGACATGGTACTCCAGGTAAGTGTCAGGCTAAAGAGCTGGTTTATACATACAACTACAGTACATCTCCCATCACTAAAACAGAGAAAAGATTGTTGGTACATAATATGGTAGGTCATAATGGCCTGCGTTATCATCCTAACAAGATGAGTTCTCTAAAGAAATAAAATAGCAGCTCTGCTTGAAGGCGGATAAGACCTGTACTGATATTTCCAATGACTCTAATGCTTTAATCTGATCCAAGAGAAGATAAACATTAAAATTTTCATTTCATGTTATAAAATACCCAACAACTAACATTTTGTCTTTCATTCGTAGGGTATAGTGTTTAGTTAGATTTGGTTAGCCACACAACATATCTGATCTATTTTGATCTATTGATCAAAAGTTCTGCTGCATCTTGCATTATGTCAAAAGATAATTAAATCGTATGAGTGGAATGATTAATAACAAGTGACGTAAGATGACGTAATGATATAATTGTAAGATTCTATATAAAAAAAAGTAAATAGAAAATGGGTGAAAACTCCTCTCAAAACCAACTTTCTTTTACCTGCACAATATAATATTAAATAACATACAAAAATCATGCATACTAGAATAATTTCTTATATATTTGTTTACTTTCTATTTTTAATGCTGCTAGTAAGCACTTTCGTAGTCGTTATTTTTTGCTGCTTTCTTGTTTAATTTTGATGGCTTTTTCTAAAGTTTGAGTGTGTTCGCTCAATAA